GTGGAGAGAGAGAGAGAGAGAGAGAGAGAGAGAGAGAGAGAGAGAGAGAGAGAGAGAGAGAGAGAGAGAGTGATAAAAAACAACAACAATCGAGCATAACAAGGAAGCCGACATAGATCAGGTCAAGGCTTTTGGAAGAGCCAACACTATCATCTTTTAAATATCTCTATGAATACAAAACGAATGTTTGTACCAACATTATGCTATCAATGTCAGACTTGTACGTTAAGTAAAACCCACGAAAGTAAATACCTTCATGAGAGTTGAAATGTCTGTGCAAAACGCTGAAGATTACAAGAAGAGTCAAGATGAGAATCCTGTTTGTACATCATAGAAAAACAAAGACTAACAATTGATTTAGGTCACCTGTTACGAATGTCTCCTATGCAGTCAACCTTGGGAGCCGAAAACACTAAGTAATCAGGCTACAACTGAAGAGGTAGGCCCCGCAGAAGATGAATTGAGGGAGTCAAGGGATCCTTGAAAAATTACATCTTATTTGAAAAGCTGCAAAGTTGGCCTTCTATAGAAAACTGCATCTCTCCTCGAAGTTTAACGGCAACAGAGGATGAAAATCAAAATTAAGAAAATAAAAAGCTGATTACTCGGATTCTTGGTTATGGTCTGCCAAACTGGGCGTTTGTTCAACGTCCTAAATCGTTATTTACAGCAGGCAGGCATGGACAAACTAAGAGCCAAACTAGGTGTTTTTTTCAAAGTCTTAAATCATTCTATTGACAATATACAGCAGGCATGGACAAACTAAGAGCCAAACTAGGCGTTTTTTTCAAAGTCTTAAATCATTCTATTGACAATATACAGCAGGCATGGACAAACAAAGGCCTGCTGGTGAGATCCCGCCCGCGAGAAATTTGAGTCTGGCTCGCGATGAGTTGACAATTATTGAACACAACTGTTGGTATTGAAAACTAAAATGATTTCTGGCTCAGTTGAAAGCAACCTTGACTAACGTGCCGTAGTGTCTATTTTAGTCTCACTTTTAAGAGCTCATATATGTTATGTGATTCCAACCAGCCCCCCCCCCCCATCCTGTTTTGACCCAAATGACATTCGGAATCCCTGAATTTATCCAGAAACTTGGACACGCTCGCAAATGCCCGATCTACAGTCATCTAGGTTGAAACGATGAAAACATAGTATGAAGTTCTTTGACTTGTTCAACGAATATGGAATTGAAAACAAACAAACAAACAAACCCCCTTTTGTCCATGTTTTGAGATGAGCTGATTCTTAAAGATTTTTTTTTTTCACTTCAGTTCCAGATTTCAACGCTTCTTATTTAGAGATTCTGAAGTGAATTCCGTTTTTCTATGGCCTTTTAAGTTCGACAATACTGTGTGTCTTATTACTCTTGTTTTGACCACATGCACCATCAAGGTAGTGTGTTTGTTTGTTTGTTTGTTTGTGTGTGTGTGTGTATGTATGTATGTGTGTGTGTGTATGTATGTGAGTGTGTGTGTGTGTGTGTGTGTGTGTGTGTGTTTGTGTGTGTGTGTGAGAGTATGTGTGTGTTTGTATCCTGTTTTATGTGTGTTTACGCTTGTATTTTGTAATTCCATTCACTTCTTATCTTTTCAACGTACATCATGCATTTTCCATTGTTTTGTTTGTAAACTGAATGCAAGAAGGTAATATTTTCTATTCCAGTAATAGATTGTCGCATCTTAAAAAACCCCAAAACATAACGACTGTAACGCTGCGACTAGTTGCGACCTAGACTTCAAAAAATGGAAACCAAAATAATGAAAACAACGTTAACAACAACATTAACTTCCGGATACCGAAACATCATCATCATCATCATCATCATCATCATCATCATCATCATCATCATCATCA